GTGCCGTTCGGGATCACGTGACCTGCTGCAAGGATAAGGAATACACTCTGAGATTCCATCTCCATGATTCCAAATACAACGAAATGTCTGAATTGTGTCAATTTTGTCTACTATCCTTTGAACTTGTGACATTTGTACAAGAGAATCTGCTGGAAGTGGGCGAATTGTATAGAGAATGTACTCCAGGGAAATCCATTCAATATAGCACTTTATAATTAATGTTTCATGCATTGGAACACAAATAATTGTAATAGAATTGAAACTGCGTAATTTCCTTTTAGTGAGAAGCTGCAATTACGAGAGAATTCCAATGAAGAGGTACGAAACATCTTACCAACAAAAACGGTTGAAAATTGATATATGCCGCTTTGGGATAGCCTAGTGACACGTCTAGGGACGCGAATGTAGTGTTCGACCTGGTTGTGCGCTTGCGCGCTCGCCCCCCACGTGACGCAGGAAAGTAGCAGGCTGCTATGTGTTCAGTCTAATTGTCGCGGCAGTACGTATGACATCATGGCGTTCACATCGCAAAATTCGACTACTGAGGAACAGCGAGTTGTTATCAGATTTCCGACTGCGGAAGGTGTTACCCCGGCCGATTTTATAGCCGGATGGAGGCTGTATACGGGTGAGGACTGTGAGTCCGACAAGTTAGTGAGAAAGTGGAGTGGCTGTTTTCGTGAAGGCCTGGGGTGAAAAAGGGAAGACCCGAGACCAGGTCAGCAAACACGGTAATCACGGCCGAACTCAGCGACCGGGTGAACGACCTGGTGAGAAGTGGTCGGCTTGTCACAATGCGAATAATGGCAGTGATGGTGGGGGTCAGCGTTGGCGGTGTGGACAGTTGTGCACGACATGTTGGGTTACCAGAAGGTGTGTGCGCAGTGGGTTCTGGAGAAGCTTAAGCGAACCGCAAAAGGAACTGCGTTTGGGGCTAGCACTGCAACACCCTGTTCCGGAGTCACGAAGACCCTACTTTCCTGGAGAGGATTGTCCGCGGTGACGAGAGCTGGTGCCATCGCTTCGCGCCAGAGACACAACGGGACAGCATGCAAAGGAAGCATGTGTCGTTACTTCCCCCCCAAAAAAATCAAGACTGAGCAAGGTGTTGATCGTCGCCTTTTTCAATGTGCGAGTTCTCGAATACCTCGAGCACGGACAAAACATCAACTGTGACGTGTACTGTGAGATACTCCGTGCCCTACGCAGGTCCGTCAAGAGCAAACGGACTGCGCTGCTCCAGCGCTGCATCGGTTTGATCCGCTCAAAAATCATCTCAAAGGGAAACGCTTCAACTCGGACGACGAACTGAAGGTCACATTAGAGAACTGGCTCATCTCACAGTAACAGAAATGCTGGGATAAGGAGATCCTTTGGGATTTTTAAACAGTGGGATAATTGTGACCAGGCTTCTGGTGATTAGTTTTGAATAAAGACTTCAATTATACTCACAGTGTCGTTTCGTACCTTTTCATTTGACTCATAGATTTTGTATTCTCGATTGCGCTCAGGCTGACATCACTTACTCGAAGGAAGTTTTTCGTCATTCGTAATATCTCGGAGTATCGCAGCCACAGGCGGATACAGTCGAAGAGCCTCTTTAATCACCATTTCCAAGTACTTTAGTTCTCCAAGCTGTTGAATTGTCGGCTGTAGAGGCTGCGACCAGTCGAACACACTTTTCAGCTCTTCCAGGACTTTTTCCTGAAGAACGAGGTGAACAATTTCGAATTAGTCATTGTTGGATACAATTAAGTTTTCAAATACTGAAATTTACATTGCAAATAATACATACTTGAACATCGGAATGGCACGCCAACAGATAAATGGCGAAGGAAATAGCAGCCTCTGTTGTGTCGTGACCCTAAAAAAAGATATCCAAGAATTTCAATCCATTACAGTATGAGTATGAGTCCCATCAAGCCAAAGTGAACCATTTTTAATTAGGTTGATAATCGTTTTCAACAAGTGACATCTTAACCTATAACATAGGACCAATATAAAATGCCACTCGCTGGGTACGATCAACCTAAGTGAAACTAGTGGTGCTACTTCAGTACATACTTTCTTGCACTATTTCTGAATTTGCAATTTTCGAAAATGAGATCCACGCCAACGGAAGAGTTAAATATAAATGAGAACCACACCATTCTTATAAGTCCCTTCTTCTATGCATAGAAAAAATTTTTTAAAAAAATTGGAGCACACTTTGAGAAAATGTTGTTTTTTTCACAAATTGCCATTATTTCAAGCACAAATTACACAACAACTTCTCATTTTTCAAAACAATGTACTTGACCTTTTTTAAAGAACCGTGTAAGGCAAAACTCTCTAACTTCAATTTCGTAATTTTTTTAATGTAAACTTTCTGCAATTAGCGAAAATGCTGAGCTATTCATGGGAAATGAAACAAACACCAATTTTTTTACCGTTTTTCGATACACGCGAGAAGAAAATTAATTAAAAAGTGTAGAATCATTTTTTAGAAAAATACTTAAAAATTGCTTATATTTCACATGATTTCAAAATAGGAAAATTACACGAAAACTGATCATAGTTTCGAAAAAGCGTACATGACTTCATTTCAAGATCTGTCTCTAGAGAACAGATGTTATTTTAAAAAATATCTATCTTGAAAATGGTAGTTACTGGAAAACGCTGAAAAATGGAACTTTTGCAATTGTCGAAAAATTAGAAGTTTCAACGACAATGAGATCAGCAACATTATTTTAACAGACATTGACGCTATCTGAAAACGAAGTTTAGTCAAAACGTTTGAAGCCGTTTTTGAGATAATTTCGAAAATGTTGAGGTTTCATGGCAAATACCCCCAAAACGTTAAATACCAATTTTCAACTCTGACTCGGACAACTTATTTAAATCAACCGGGAATAACAGTTTTGGAGTAAATCGTTTGAACAGTGTTAGACGCTAGCGTTGATCTCAGTCAGATGGACAGTCAGGAAAACAAATGTTTTGCCGTCAATCGAGTTTTCAGTATCAAGGAGCACCAAAACGCATTTTGTCTACACAACATGTTAGAGGAAGTAATTTACTATGTGAACAAGATTTATCCGTTTATTCTTTACCAGGGCCCGGCAATGAGATTTTCTGACGAAATTTAACAACTTTCCGGAGCAGTTTTCTGTCGACATTTTGCAATATTTTCTCTTTTTACGAAATAGGGCGAGAAAGTAAAAAGTAGCTAGAGATTTCATGAAAAATTGGAACATTTTGACTCCCGGCAAAGCATATTTTGTCAGGGACTTTTGGATGTCCTGGCAAAGTGTTTCGGGAGAACGGAACAGGACTTGAAAAATGGGACAATGCCTTATTTCACGGAATATATACGAATTCTGTCAAACGACTAGTTTCAAAGGGTAACATAAAGTTTCAGGGAGTTTGGGGCATTTGGGAGCATTTTGACATTCCGGCAAAGTATTTCGGAAGAACGGATTAGGACTCAGGTAAATATGACCATACTGTATTTCATTGAATGTACATGAAAATATTCAGTGTCCAATTTTAAAGAGTAATGAGATTTCAGCAATTATTGGCGTTTGTAGATGCGCATGCGATACCTCGAACATGAAGGTGTCCACCTCCTCGCGAATGTCTGCGTCCGAGAGGCTGCCGTCGCGCGC